TTTTTATTGAGTATAATTCAGATGAATCTTATAAGAATTAGGTCTAAGTAAAAATATTTTTTTTCTTCGACTTCTATTTAAGTTAATAGTGCAGCAAAAAGACATATATTACAGAAAATAAAATGAAAATACAATAAATGTTTTTAGTATTTTTTATTAAAAAAATACAAAATACAACAAAAAAAAAGTACAAAAAATTTAATGAAAAAATTGATTAAGATTATATTATTTTTATTTGCTTCTTCTATACTCTAAGTTATCTCATTTACCTTGTTTATCATGCAATGAAAGTTATATATTTTAATGTTGAGTCAACTCTAATTTTTTACTAAAACTATAACAATTAACTAAAATTCTCTAATTCTTTAGACTAACCTAATTAATACATACATTATAGACTAGCCTAATTAATATCATTCTAAAATTGATCAAACCAAAAAATACATTAAAAATAAATAAACCCATTTAATTGTTCAAAAAGAATGTAAATAAGGATGAAGATTTTTTTTTATAATATAGAAAAATTAAATATAATTTCATTTCATTCGAACATAAAATGAACTAGTCAAACATATTTACAACAAATAATACAAAACTGATAAAAAAATACAAAAATAAATTTCATAGAAACTTGAATAAACACAAAAAAATCTTTCAAATACTTAAGAAATAAGAGAAAAGTTAGCAAAAAAAATTTCCTAAATTTAAACTTAGAAATTTAGAAAATAAAAAAACAAGACTATATTTTAAAATTGGCTCAACTTTTTTAGTATAACTTCAGCATTGCAGTGTATTAAAACACTTAAAAGATTTTGCGCGTTAGACCATCTAGAGGTTAGAAACATAACATTCTCTCTATGAACTAAGCATTAAAACACTTGAAGGATTTTCGCACTAGGCACGTTTTGTGGTTGGACATTGGAACACTCACTTTCAACATCTAGATTGAAAATATTAGCTTTGTTTTTTATGCTGTTAGGACTCCTTTACCTTGGATGTCTAGTCATTTGAATCTATAATTATTAAAATAACAATAATTAACATAATTTTTATATAATTTGAGTTAAAAAAATTAACATTCAATAACCTAGATAAAAATTAAAAATATTAATTATTTTATGATTTTAATTAAGAAACGATACAAATTATAATTAAAAAACTTATAAAAATTAAATATATATTGTTATATGCAGTGGTAGTGGAAGTACCGTTAACTTTGTTACCTTGACTGTATTTGTGCATGAAAGCGTCGATAAGAACGTTGCCTATTCTTCTTATCAAAATTAAGTTCCCCTTATCACATTTCTTGTTGGTGACTACTTTTTGAGTGGCATACTGTGATATTTATCAATTATAGAACAACAAAACTAATATTATGAGATACTCAACAAATAACATTAATAATTAAGAAAATGTACTTTTATTTCACCAAAGAAAAGATATAATACTAAATCACACATTCTAAATTTTAATCTCAAAGGAAAGATATTATACTATAAAAACAAACAAATAACATTGACAACTTAAAATGCAGGCCATTCAACTTAAAAGTTTATTCTGGTGATTTGTGTAATGAGCTAAACTATCTTTTATTAAGCTCACCCAAGTAGACGCGATCTCTTCATTATCGCTTCTTTGATCTTGATAACTATCAATAGATATATTTTAATTTTATGATCCACTTCGACAATAAAATCTTCATCTAGATTTATGCCTGTTAGGTAATCATGAAGAATGCAACATGAAACAATGACTAGTTTTTGAACTTTGACTTCATAGACAGGCTTTGTTGAATTAGATAAAATTTTAATTCTTTTTTTCAATACTCTAGTGAATTGTGTAACTATACATGATGAAGATCAAATAATTCTCTATGCTTTTGGGTGTTTTTTTTTATTTTTTTAATATTCTTTCAAATGATAACGAACTCTTGTACAAGGTGTAATAAGTTTGTTGGTCAACATGAAGTCGACACTAACAAGGCAATATTTTTCTATAATCATGTTAAATAACCAATGTGAAAGTTTTAAAATAAAAAATAAATAACTTTAATGTATTATGTACACTTAATATCTTGTAGAGTTTTAATATAAACATATAAATAATTTTCTATCTTCTTGTCTTAATGGCTTTTTTTTTTTAATGATTCTTGAGTAATAAGTCGTGTCGTTCCATTCAAGGAGCACATAAGTGAACCTTAAGTCAAATGAGCATGCTGCTAACACATTTTGTGTTAAGTGTTCCTTTCTATCATAATATTGGGATACGTCTCTAAGAGATACTTTGACCTGTATATGTGTTTCATTTATAGCACCAATAAGAACCTAAACTTAAATATATGAATCAATATTATTTGTGTATGATTCTAAAATTTTGAATATTTAGTAAAATAAGGCTAAAATTTTAGCATAAAATATGGTAGAATCTATTACTACAATGAATTTTAAGAGTGATAATTGAGCCACTAAATTGAACAAGAAATTTTATTCCAATTCAAGTTTTAAAATTAACTTCACAACTTTTAGCGTATGTAAATGAATTTTGCAACTTACTCTTCCACACTTGACCATCTTGTGGATCTTAAGCCAATCTCTCTCTCCAACATATCACAAGGTTAAAAAATGCTTGACGACTCATATTCTTAATATATATTCTAGCTTGAGTAAATTATTAAAAAAAATTTACAAAAAAATAAGTATAAAAATCAATAAAAAAGTATGTTATTTTTAATTTGTGAAAAAATTATTATTTTTTATATAAATTTCTTCTTTTATAAAGTTTTTAAAATTTTTTTATCTAAATTAAACCTATATCTACTTCTTTCAATTCTATAATTTATCTAATTATTTATTCACGAACTCTTTCTCTCTCATACCTCATATTATAGATGATTTTCTTTGACGTGACATTCATTCGAATTATAAAAAGAGAAGAAGCACATATAGCTCTTTGACGTAAATGTTACAAGATTAAAATAGATTAAACCATATCTTCTACAAATTTATGGTAATTGCAGAATTCAAATATCAAAACTTAAATGTTACAATGCAGCCAATATAAGTAGTGATAAGGCAAATAACTACCCTCTATATAACATGTTCAACAAACAAGAAGGATAATATGTGAAACGAGAATAATAATATGCAAACAACAAGGTAATATGAGCATAATAATACCTATAAATAAAAATACTAAATAATCACATAGGACAAAAGAAAATAAAGAGACACTTTGATGAAAAGAAGTAAATAAATGAAAGTGAAAGCTACGGGTTGTTGAGAAAATTATATATATATAAGATTAGTTTTAAATTTAAAATAGGATATTTTAAGGTTTTAATTTTTAAAATTTTAAGCACATTTTCTCTCGCCTCCAAACTCTTCCATATTTTAAGAAAGTTGAAATTGAGTTAAGAGGGATTTTAAGCCCCTTTCCTCCTCTATCCTCTCTTCGAAATATTTAAACGAAACACAAAGACGATATAAAAATTACTCTAAATCCCCACTCAATCCCCTAACAAAATAATACACAAAATATTAAAATAATCGTTAAAATAATGACGCTGAATATACAGCGTAGATCACTTTATGGTGGGGAGTTAGTCCTTGAAATCTATTATTATTTAATTATTCTAATTTATTATTAACCAGAAACAAATTAATTCTATTGTGCGTTAAAATTTTAGCACAATCAAAGATGTATGTGAGTAAAAGTTAACATCAATATACTTTGTTAAATATCCCAAGCTAATGCGCAACAAAAGACATTACTTTAGGAACATATATGGCTTTGGAAAATTCTTTTGGAAAGATAAAACGAAGGAACAAGGTTTAGGCAAATGTTTCATAATTAAGATAAGGTCAAGATATTTTATGATCAACATTTTTTAGAAATTGACGCATACCTGATTCACTGTCAACTTATACCAGAATGTTTGTTTCATCTCTACTCTAATGCCTAACATCTTCAATTTTGTATACAACACCTCACATGGAAAATATCTATGCACACAAACATGGTACTTCCTATCTCTTTTTTCTTAAAATCTCTTCACGATACTGTAAATGTGAGGTTAAATTACTGAACAACCTCTTGCTCATGGCACAACAGATTCAAGGACAGTAATAGAAAAATAGAAAAAAAAAGAAGAAAAAGACGGAGAAAGCAAAGCAAGTAAGTGGTTTAATTTAATTACTATACACATGTATTCTTTTGGTAAACTTCTAGAAAAATTCTAAAAAAATATATAAATAATAAATAAAATTTCTTACATAAATTAAAAATAATTTATTCATTTAAATTTTAGAAAAATTAAATGAGAGAGCTTCTTGAATTTCTAGAAAAAATAAAGTAATAAAAATTATATTTTATTTATAGGAAAAAATTTATTTATTTTTAATAAAAAAAATTTCTCATATAAAAATTTTCCTATAAAATTTTCCAAATAGGATCATAAAGCTCTTTGTTTAAAATTTTTTTTCTCAACAAAATTACTTTTTTTAAAAAAATAATCACTTTTCAAAGGTTAAATTCTATGTTAATCTAGAGTAGATTCGAAATCCGCGTCTTAGAAAAAGATACAAAAATGATGAAAAGTTAAAACCAAAACCATTTAGAAAATTCATAAAAAATGATATAACTGCATATAAATAAATAAATAAAGGTTGAATTCGAAAAGACTATTTTAAGAAGGTGAATTTATATATGCAAGAGGAGAATAACAGCATATCATTGACTTTGCACATCGCATGACACCAACACCTCCCGATTTAACTCTGCTCCTCCCCTTTACAAACACCAATACTGAGCTATATATATATATATATATCATTTATTTTAATAAGACCGCACCAATGACGAAGTTGAACTCACAAACCATAAAACAAAGGAAACAGACACTGATCCAAGGCGAATATTTCACAATGGCTACATGCATATATAATATTATATGATTAATGTTGAGATCATATAGAACTCAACATGAACACAGTCTGGAGTCTTCAAGTTCCAGAAACGGAAGGAGGTGAAGAGCAGTCACAAGTGACTTCAGTCTCAACCTCCCTCTTATGGAAGTTCCTGTGGCAGCCACAAGCAGCACAAGTCAGAAGAGCGGCTCCTTCAGTGCCATTTGCCATGAACTCCCTGCAACCATCAACAGCATGTCCTCCATGACTGACTGCATGATTCTTCTGGCACTCAGCATACCTCACGTTTCTCACTGTCACTGCTGAATTGCTTGTGTTTCTTGAAGGTTCTTCCCTTCTCACAACCACTTGTCGCTTCCTCATGGTATCCTTCAAATCCTGCAAAGATTATGTCAATATGTTAGTTCTTTGGAGAATCAAAATCATGGGTTAAGTTAGAGAGAAACCAGCGATAGATAGAGAGGATTAGGACATAGGGGCAGGGAGAGAGAGAGAGAAAGAAAGAGAGATTACTGCTCACTGTGTGATGGGTGTGATGAGCCCTAACCCTAGAAGGCATATTTATAAGTGGTAAATCTGGTCTGGACAAATTGAATTTTCAGTAACTGAAATGAGAACAACTCAGAATCGCGTTGTCCACTCCATTCACTGTGCAATCAATAATTACAGATGTCTTTTTCGCATGGTTGGGAAACGATGGGATTATATTTTTATTATTTTTTGTGACCCTTCTAAGAGTTTTTTATTCATGTTATTGTTTCTTAATCTTTTGGATCCTCTGACATATCCTGTGTTTTTTAAAATGTAATTATTACATTTAGGTTTTTATTGTATGTTATCGGATATACAATACAAAATTAATAAATACCGAGCTTTTATTAAAATATTATAACATTTAATAGTATTATTAATGTATTAAATTATATAATTTTTAATAATATTTATTAGATATAAATTTTTATTGTATGTATTAATTACACAATAAAAATATATATTTTTTTAATAAATACTACCGTAATTTTAGAGGGAGAGAATGATTCATTTTAAGGCTTCAAAAATCTCTTAACTCAAAGAATACTAATAAAAGACTTAAAATTTATTTCAGACTTAAAATTGTTTCATGTTAGATGCGAGACATGTTTTCTTTCACTGGATCAATTGCTTAAAATTTTAGAGATTAATTTTTTGTGCTTAAAATTTAAAAGATATTATTTTTTTAGTTAAGTGTTAAAGTTTAAACTTGTTCAAATGTTGTATATGAATTACAAACGAAGATTAAATCTTCGACTATATATTTAAAGAATTTGGGTTGCTTTTACTCGAATTCACATGTTAGTAAATGATATATTTAATTTTAGTAATTAATAACCATTACATTAAATGTCTTTACATGTAGTTTTAGTATTGTCATAACTTGATGGTTTATTGATTTTATCATGATATATATTAACTTATATTTAATAGTAAGTAAAGTAATAAAAAGTATAAGAAGATTCTGTTATATATATATATATATATATATATATATATATGTATGTATGTATGTATTTAATTTAATGTTTAAAGTAATTAGATGCTAGTTAAACGGATAAATTAACAGTGGTGTAAATTAATTTGATTCAACCATTGATTTGTGTTTATATATCAGGTTGAGCTTTGATGAAGCATTTTGTCAGCTCATTGTCTAATTTAATTTTAATAATCTAAACATTACCTATTAAAACAGCTCGTGTGAGTGTTTTTATAACAAGAAGCTATTCAAATAATTTTTAAATATTTAAGTCTTATGAATGTAAAAGTTTATACATGAAAAGGTTTTTGTTTCTTCAAGTGAATTTAATCGATCTAAGTCGTTTAAATTAATCAAAATCTAATTTAGTTTCTTAAAGATGATCAATTTCATTTTTAAAAGGAAGATTAAATCTATTTACTCAATAAAATGTAAATCTTATCTTTAGCTCCAAATAAATGAGTCATATCACACTATATTACCTAACATTAAAGATCAAAACAACTGGCGCACGCACACAATTTTATGGAATTAAGCTTTTAACAGTGCAAGGTTTTTATTCGGCATAAAATTATATGATAAAAAAATATGAAATAATAATTTTTTTAGTAATAAAGTATGTAATAATATTAATATATTATATTGCATTAATTTTTATAATTTTTTATAAAAAATTATTATATGTAAAATTATGTTATTCAATGGGAATTACGAGATAAGCGAGAGTTAATCCTGTCGTGTGTTCCTAACGCGTAGTGGGGCCCTGACTTGACAGTAAAAGGGCGTGTTGTGGTGAGCATAAATACGTCACATAAAACGTGAGCAACATAGTAAGCATATAGACGTTATGGTGAAGGAACAATCTCTGTACATGCAAAGGAAAAGGACATAATTTTATTGTCTTATTCCCCACAATTTTATCAATTGTTTATTAGGTGTTTCACAGCACATGTTAAGAAATCATAAAACAATAAATATTTATTAAAAATTATAGCTTTTAATATTATTAATATTTTTATTTTTGTATTATTTTATTATTTTTAATAAAAAATTATTATATTTGGTTCTATTTATAAAAAACAATTACTAGTATTTTTATTTTAATGATAAGAAATAAATACTCATTTTATATAATATAATTGTTAATCATTAAATATATGAATCAGATTTTTTCAACTTAATTTATGATTTTGAATTTAAATTTTTGTAAATATAATTATATTAAATAATAATAAAAACTTTATCATTCATAATAATGAGATATATACCCTTTATTCATTTAAATGAACACATTCATTGAATATATATCATATTAATTAATATTTTAAATATTTATAAAATATAGTTTAAATTTATTACATATATAAATACATATTCATATGAATTTATGACATATAAATACTTGAATAAATATATTATATAAATTTATGTAACCCCCATTTACCAATGCATTAATGATTAATAAATTAAAATTAATAAATTTTTATTAGTTTTATGTTTGATTGCATTGTAAATAACGAAAGAGGTATATTTATTATATCTTTATATAATTTAAGAGTTTAATTTTTTTTGCATGATAACAAATACGTAACACGTGTCAAAAAAAATTTCTTATGTTAGGAACAAACTAGGAAAAGGAAATAATTTTATTGTCTCATTTCTTACAATTTTATTAATTTTTAATTTAATTTTTTAATGTGTACAATTTTTTAATGTGTTTTGAAGAATATATGTTAAGAAATTAATAAATAATGATTTTTAATTAAAAATCATAGCATTAAATGTTATGGATTTATTAAATTTTATAATATTTTTTTAATTTGTTTGTCAGAGTTAACATATAAGTTGTGTAGAAGTTGAAAAGATGAAAAATGAGTTGACTGAATTAAAAGCATTTGATAAAACTAATTGATATGTATAACATGACAAATAGGATCATTATAATTAAGCAGACTAAAATTCAAAATTTAATAATTATATATTTTTAATATTTTAATTTATTTCAATAATTTATCATCTTCAAATTAAGATAATAACTTTTTGAGTTTACTCTTATGTATAAATATTTTATCATAAAAAATAGATTTAATGACTTTGTTGAATACTTTTCAAGACATCAACAATTTTTTTAAAATTAATAAATATTGTGATATTTTTTTATTATTTGTGACATTTTAAAATTAAGATGACGGGAAGTTTCCTTGTATCAACATCAATGTTTTGTTTATTTTTCTCTTTAGCTAACAAAAAAAAATTTTTCATTAAAAAGGGTACAAGAGATACCCTAGCTAACACACAACATAATACTACATTAACTATAGACCTTTTGAGCAATTTATAGTTTCTTTTACCCACTCAAAACTAGAGATATAGAAGCTATTCACCTTATTTCTCAACTACAATGAACATTTCAGAACCGTCATTTATCCATTACGAGACGTTGAATATTTAAATCTAATTGTTGACATTGTAGATTCTTTGAGTTGAGTTATCAAGGTTTTCTCAATATTTACGTATGATAAGTTGAAGTTAGATTCATTCTTACGAAGAAAAAAATCACTTATTTTAAAAATAAACATGGTTATAATTATTATTTTACATCGTTTTTTTTTTCCTTTTAGAAAAATGAAATCAATCAATTTATCCTATAAATTTATTTTCTCAATTATATTTATGCTATAAAAATGCCAATTTCTTATATCTGTGAATAATTCAACAGAATTAGATAAATCAATCAATTACATGATGTTTAATTCACTCCTGAAAGTTAACATATAGAAAAAAAATTATATAATTTTTTAAAAAAGTATTTTGACTCTACTCTTAAATAATTTGAGATATATTAATATTTGCTGTAGCTAATATAAAAAGACTATTTGATACTAAATAGGTCATGTGTTTCCTTGTAGAGCTGCCTTTGAACTTTAATTCTCACTCAATTCAACAAATATACAAACTAAAGGCTATTGTTCTACTCAAAGAAAAGTCAAACCTTTCCGCTCTAGCCTTTTACCACACCCAGGCTCTAATTTTGTTCATATTAGAAATAATATATCTATATAGAGAATTATTTTTTAATTAGTTTACAATTAGTACAATTTACTTCTTACAAATTATTAAAATTTATATATGGTATTAGAGACTCTGCTATCCTTGCTCCTACATCATAACTGAAAAATCTCATAATGAAGTTCAATTCGATAAAGCACAAAGTTTATTAGCTTCATCTTACTAAGCACAAAATTCATTCAGTCCCTGTTACCGGCATTCAAGAGAAAATTTTGGAACAAATTTTGTTTCAATTTCATTGGATTGAATCAACTACCATTCATTGAGTAGAACTATGAAAAAGATTCTTTTATCCAAAAAGAAATATAAGTTCATCAATAGAACTATAGCAGCACTTGATTCCAATAATAACTTATACAATGTTTCGGAAAGATGCAACACCATGATCATATTATAGATTACAAGTTCATTGTCTCAACAGATTGCTCAAAGCATAATTTTCATAAACAATGTCAAAGAATTGTAAGAAGATCTTCAAGATAAGATTTCTAAAAGTGATCACTTTCACACTTTAGATTTACTTCAAGACATACATTCTATCAAATGAAAGAAAACTGTATCAAACTACGTTACTAATTTAAAAGATTACATGAAAAAATCTTGAATCATTGACGTTTATCCTATCATGCACTTGTACTATAAAATGTAACTAAACAAAAGTTCTGAATGTGATTTATTTTTTTAAAGGAGTAAATGATTAGTACAAATCAAAAGCCACGTATTATTGATGGAACATTTACCATCAATAAGCAAAGTATTTTCATTTATACTATAGAAGGAAAAT